CAGAAATAAGATCAGAATGCAAGGGATGGGCAACGTCATCTAGAATTCGACCAGCAAATTGCCTGACCGTATTGCAATGCCGTTGTAGGATATTGTCGACTTATAAAAGATAAGAAACACCAACGGCGAAAGAGAGCATTTAAAAAACTCATTTTAAAATTAAAAGATCTTTTTGAGTAAAGAAGTAAAAATGACAGGAGAGCAGTATAGGATAAAAGGAAGAATGCAAACATCGATAACTCGTCAGACCGAGGGTTGAGGTGTGTGGTAGGAAAGTTAACGACGAATGTTATAAAGAAGTTTACGAGCTTTCGCAAATAGGGGCTCAATATGGAAGGAAAACGAAAGTATTGAGGGAAAAGTAATGCCAAAGTACCCGAAAGAAGATACATTCTTAGAAGGAAGTCAGAGGATTCACGACTAGGAGAGGGCCGCAGTCGGAAAATACACTGAACCGGATTTTGGTTGTTCATTAGGAGATCATTTCCCTCAGACCATACAGGGACATAGTTAAGGCTATCCTTTAGAGACTGGTGGTGTGTCCGTTTTTTGATAGTGTCCAACAACCAGATCATCAGCATTAGGGGATCTTAGATCGTCGGTGTGGAAGGAAAAAATGAGGGGATAGAACGGAACCTTAAAGAACTCCGCAGTCATTGGGAAGGACAGTAGATTTCCGCTTGCCAGACTGGAAAAATTGAGTGCGGGAAGTAGAAAGATCGCTAAGCCAAGAGCCTTGAGAAACGCATGTGGCTGTTTTGGTTAGGAGAAGAGGGCGCGGGACGGTTTTGAAGGAGCAGGAGTAGTCAAAAACAGCACATGCATACTCGCGGCAACACTTGTCTAATTCTTTTTGAGCAGTTAGGCCCACAAGAGAAACAGCATCCAAAGTACTTCATTTGGCTTTATATGTAAATTGCGGAGGATAAGAAAAACTTGAATAAAAAGAATTTGTAATTTCCAGGCCAGCTCTTTCAGCAGGTTTTAGTAGTGCGGAAGAGAAGCAATTGGTTAAAAGTATCAAGGAGCAAAATTTGTGCTTTTTTTAGGGATGTGAGTGATTTTCATTGTGCGCCCGGTGCTGGGAATCTTGGACTAAATGTAAGACATGTTAATAAGGTGCGTTAAAATAGGGGCTGTCTGAAAACAGCAAGATTAAAGAAGAAAAGGCGAGACAACATCCAGTCCGGCAGCTGTTGATCCACGGACTATTTTAAGGTGTTTCTCGACTGTTGCCTTAGAAACGGGTTGGAAAGCACATAGTTGATAGACGAATGCCGTCTGAAGGAAGATGGGAGCCACTGTGACTAAAGATAGAATTTTTGTTTAAGGAGTCTAAATCAGCACCCACATGTAGCAGTGTGCTACGATGGCCAGTCAGACGATGAAGATTCTTCCAAATGTCAGCAGAGAACGGAAAAAAGAAAAGGACGAAGGAGAGATCAAAAAAACGTGTCATTTATCCTGCAGGTGCACCAGTCCATATTCCCAGCCAGTCAGTCATCTGGTAAGGATATTGGGCGCCTTCGCATTTATAAAAACAACTTCCCATAAGACGCCTTAATGCAAAAAAATTTAGATTTAAACGGATATTTTGTACGACACACCTGAGAGCAATTGGGCTCATCAGAGAGGGTAATCAGGAAACATGTCCGAAGTACTGAACGCCTCTTCACGGCTTATGAATACTACACGGTGACGCCAATGACACCGATGAATAACGGCACAGATTTGTCTCCGCTTGCGAACTGAGCATCCCGTAATTCATTCTGATGCATTTGCAGCAAGGTAGAGCATTAAGGTTTGCGCAAGCTACACGTCCAGCCTTCACATTCGGCGTATTCACCAGACAGAACATAGTCAACGCATGACGAATTATGGATGAGTCGAACCCCTTGCAATTGCCTGATGCAACGATATAGTCTGGTAGTTGCTTATTATCAGTGACTGTGGACAGAGGTCCTATTAAACGTGGCCCCTAAAATGCAAGAGCCATTTCATTTTCTGTCATTCCTCTTTTTACGGTCCCGACGTATGACATAACATTCTTCACTGAAATATCTGCATAATATCACATTTTACTCATTTCCATTTTCAGCTTGCGTGGCGGAACATTTAATTGAAATACATTCAAAATAGAAGGAAAGACTTTTGATTTCAGACACATATTTTGTTAAATTGCCTGTCAGCTTACGGAACGTTAGACATACCAGTTGTTAACAGACGCAGCAGTATATTATTGGCAATGCTGCATCGCTTATGTTCAGTATATGAATCAACGAAAGCAAACAGGACAGGACAGAAACTGGACTGGCTCTGACTCAGAGGTTGACAAAGCTATAAATCTGTGTTTGTATGGGCCGCAATCAACCTAGGCCACGCAAAATGGACCAGCTTTTCACCAAATGAGGGTGGGTGTGATGCCATCTCAGGTGGGGTGAATCAAGGGCCATATCAGAAAGGATCCATTGAGCCTGACTCAGTCTACCAAATAGTTATTCTTGATGTTTCAATTGGAATCCTTGCAAAGCACGGCTACTAGGGCATTGTGGCAGTTCCAACGGACGTCAGTTTTATAAAAGTGAGCGATGTGCTGAGTTAATGTGGAAATTGAATCCCTAGTCTCGACGCAATTTTATTCAACCTTCAGGGGCGCCTGTCCACGTTCCCGGACACAAACCATCCGGTGAGGATATTGGGCGCCTCCGCATTTATTAAAACAACTTCCCAGAGGACCCCTAAAATGCATATGAAAGTTAGACTGAAACTGTACTTTGCACGACACACCTGCAAGGAATTGGGCTCATCAGAGAAGATAGTCATGAACGCCTCTTGACGGCTAATGAATACTACGCGGTGACCTCAATGAAATCGATGGATTGCGGAACATCTTTGTTTCACTTTGCGGACTGAGCATCCTGTAATTTAAACGAAAGCATTTGCAGCAAGGTAGAGCACTAAGGTTTGCCCAGGCTTAACCTCCATCCTTCACATTCGGCGTATTCACCAGACAGAACATAGTTAACGCATGACGAATCATGGATGAGTCGAACCCCTTGCAACTGCCTGATACAACGACAGCATTTCGACAAAACACAAGGCTGGGCCTTTTATTCGTATCCATGCTGTCAATATGACTAGTTATATTCTCAGATAAACATTTTTATAAAGAGGCAGCATTGCAAACAAACCTAAAAAACCTTGATGCCATAGTCTATTAAAAACTGCTTCGCAGGTCACAGCCTAGATCTACTGACTACTGCCCAACACCCTTAAATGTGGTTTGAATGTGCCAACTTCGCAAAAAATTATATTTCCTAATTTCACGCCCAGCTGTTTACAGTCTGCATACCTAGAATGTTCAATATGGCATAGCCATACAGATAACAGATTTTATTCGCATTCTTTACCTTTTTGATTATGCATCCTCTGGTCACTGCAAACTCCGTAAAGGCTGCCAACATTCTTACAAATTTCCCCGTCATTCGTAGAAGCAAATCAATCTTGCTCCGTTTGTGACCACTGTCACATGGAAACCTAGGTAGGTACCCGCAAAACGCATGACTGAAATATTTTTAACTTGTTCTCGTGTCGTGTTCGTAGGTGCCATCAACGCCGCAGCACTTACTCGATCCGCTGGCAGTTGCCTCATGAACGCGCTGGCAAATCGAAGCTCTACATTTTCGTCTCACATAGAGAGAGGCGGTATTGACTAAAGTGTGTCGTGGTTATTCATGAGAGGGAGTATAGTGGAGGGGCGGAATGATTGTCCACCAGTTCGCACCCACGAGAAATAAACACTTTCTAACAGTGAATGTATGTGGGCACTCAATGTCATCACTGATCCTTCCTATTAACTCCAGTTAGGAAGGTAATTTGCCTTTAAATTGATATTACACCTTGTGTTTATTGCTCCACTTTTGCTTCTGGTATGGTGTCTTATGGAGTTTAAATGCACTACTATCTGTCTGTCGGCCGTTAATGATTAATATGGAGTTATCGCATTATGGCTAATGGTAATTCATAAATTCATACACTATATGTCAATCTGTGCGTTTATACCTTAGCAAAAAATGATTTGCGCGAAGTTTGTAGTCAGTTTCTGAGCAAACGTTTCATAATAAGCAATGTTGGTGCAACTACAAATGAGCCGAAACCAACGCAGCTTTGCCAGGAAGAGACAGATTCCAAAAAACATATATCGGTCATTTTATGTAATCTTGCTAACACAAAGTTTTTTAAAGAAAATCGGACTTTTTTCGATTTTTAAAAGTCATAATAGCATATCTGTGCGATTTAATGCCATAAAGTGCATCCATAAGGCAAACAGGGATTCCTCCGTTTAAATCTGCTGAAATTATTTTGCTGTTTGACAATTTCTACGGGATGTCACATAAACGATCATCACCAAATGGTCACTTCCAGTCTTAGACATATGAAGCATTAATTTTCGCGCAAGTTAACATCTGCAAGTACCGAATTCAGAAGTGGAACGAGCAAAAAATAAACAGGTTGAGCAAAATATCACTATTTATGTAGG